TAAATACACCCTTCAGTATTAGGGTCAGCATTCAGCAATGCCTAACTGCCTACCTGGAAGTGTTTGAGGTCGGCAATTTTTTTCCGACTTTGTTTCTATGTTTTATGGTAAAACATTTGCGTCAAATTTTTTTGTTGACCTGATGCCAAACTTTAACAGATTTAAGACAGCAAAATATTGCCGACATCATTTTTGCTAATACTGAGGGTTAATAAATAAAATTTTTTTTTTTTTTTTTTTTTTTTTTTTTAAAACTCTGTTTTGAACTGTTATTATTATTATTTAGGACAATTTAAATTACTTTAATATTAGCATCGAGTATGAATTATATCGAGTTATATAAAAAAGTACATTAATATTAAAATAAGTATTAAAAGAATCATTTGTATTAAAAGAATTAAGCAAAGTACAAAAATAAATTTTAAAAATTAAAATGCATTATTTTAAAGACTTATTATTTTGTATTATGAATTAATTCAATTTTCTATTCCAATCAATATTAGCAAATAGATCTTATTCATAAATTTTTTTTTTTTTTTAATCTAAAAAAATAAATCATTTGATTAAGGAACATCAACCAAATAAGATGTTTCTATCAGTTTTCGTCCAGTATTACAAGTTGTAGTTAGATCATTTTTCACTGAACAAGATTAAGTTTTGTTGCCTTTTATCATGTTAATTATAATGATTCTTTTACAAAAAACCTGCAGAGGTTTTTTTGAATATTTATTAAATGCTTTGCTTTTTGAAAATTTTCCTTGTTTAAATGATTTGTTTTAGGTTGATTCAAGGTTAGCTGAAGAAAATTTAAGGGTCCAGAGATATCTTCATCCAAGTACATTTGAGAAAGTTATGAATGTAGCTCAATCAAGACTTGTTGAGGATCATCTCGAATTACTAACAGGTGAATGTCGCAGAATGGTAAAGGAACAGAAGTTTGCAGGTAAAATTTTGTAACATTTTAAATTTGTTTATTAAAACTAATATAATATAAAAACCTAATGTAATATAAACATGGAATATGGAAAATGGAAATACTAAATAATATAAATATTTTGCAATTTTTATAATATATATAATATAAACTATGAATATATTTTATGTGTGTACTCATAATATACTACTCATTATATTAAAATTGATTGTGTTTAATGTGAAGTATCTATTTATTATTCTTTTTTTTTTAATCATTTAAATATTTGATTATTTTACTCAAAATATTCAAATCTTTAAATCATTTATATAATTTAATCATTTGAATATTTTACGTAAAATGCTAATCAATTCACTCATTTAATTTTTTTAATCAATTCACTTATTTTATGTAAAATGCTAATCAATTCACTTATTTAATTTTTTTAATCAATTCACTTATTTTACGTAAAATGCTAATCAATTCACTTATTTAATTTTTTTAATGCATATTTTGTATATTTTTTATAAACAATTTCATTGACCTTTTCAAAAGAGTTTCATTACAAATAATTGTTTCAAGTAATTTTTAAAGTATTTCAAAATAATTAAGCTTTTAAACATTTAACAAAATTAAAAGAAAAATTTTTTTTTAAAAAAAAAGAAGAAAAAACTGTCAATTTTTTAAAATTTTCAATGAGAAAAAAAGAAGTTAAATTATATCTTTAAATTTCTTTTAAAAATAAAAACAAAATAACAATCTTTAATGGCATAAAAGAATACATAATATAAATACATACAAAAATAAATATTGCAGTATAATCTCTAAAAAGAGATTTTTTAGTGCATTCTGTATTTGTGTCAAATCATTTAAAGTATGATAATCTTAGTAGGAAGTGAGTTGTTCATGACACCATTAAAATGTATTTCAATGTAAGCAGTATGATTAAATTGCGCATACCGTATACTATTATATTATTTATATATTTTGTTATTTATTTGTATTGTTATTTGTTTACAACTAGTATATTTGTATATATACTTGTATATATATATACAGCCCTCGAAATTAGGAAAAATAAGGTCGGCAATAATTTGCCGACTTTATTTTGTGTGAGGTCGGCAGAAAAAATGTAAAACATAGGTTTGACCATAGAAACAAGGTCGGTAATTTTTTACCAACCTTAACCACTTTTATGCCAGCAGTTATATCTATATTAAGATAAGAGAATAAAAATATTTAGAACATGCAGAAACAGATATATTTAACATTTAGGTTTTTTAAGCAATTAAAGCTTATTTATTTTTTATTTACTCTTCGAAGTCTAAGGGACCACTACAGTGGAGGAGAGTATTGAGTATAAAAAGTATAAAATTGTGTTTAAAATGTTCAAAACTATAAAAGTAGTTTTATTGTAAATGTAGTTTTATTTTATTTTTTCTTTTTGGTATTTTCCTAAAAATTATTATATTTTTTTCTGTTTCAGTTGCTTGATTTTTTTTTTCAAATAGCTAAGTTTTTTAAGTTTTTTTTTTTACTTTATAGTGTAGATAGAAAAGACAAAAAATCATAATAACAAAAAATTCACATTTTTTTTTGTATAAAAATTTAAATTTTTGTGGGAGAATAGAATGTAAAGAAGTTATTTATATTGAATTTATCAATTTTTTAAAAGTTACTTTAGAAAGGTTGTTACTTCATAAACATAATAAGAAAACTGATATAATAAGAGATGTGTTGGTTACTACAAAGATAATTATTACTAAGTTTAACTAGTTTGCAATAAATTGTGCAATCTTGCTTTGCCACAGTTTAAATTTTTTTTTTCAATCAAAATAAATTTTTTGCAAAAAAAGTTAAGTTATGCATTTAATTAAAGATAAAAGCTTTTAAATAAACCATTCTCTCATAACTATTAATTAGTTGAATAATATTTAATAACAATATATCTGAACAACATATTGTGAATAGGCATTTTTAGTATTTATTTTTTCCTAATTCTCATTGTATTAATTATTATATTTAAATTTTATTTATACTAATGTATTTATATTAAACAAGTATGACTGGCGTAATGTGGTATTTTAAAATGTTGTAAACGATTATAAAAAATGCAAATATTTGCCTTAATAAATAAGTCTCAGCTGTCTAACCCATGTAAAAGAAGAAGGAAAAAGAAAAAGGAAAAAAATAATAAATAAAAATATATTGGATAAGAGTAGATGTTCAGAGAAAAAAAAAGGTTAACATCATTAACTGTTAAGCCTATTGTTATTTTGAATGCTTTAAGTAAATAGTAATTAAATCGCAAATGTTTAAAAGTTTTATTAAAGCAAATATATCGAAATGTTAAGTAAAATATTTTTCAATACTTAGATAAAATTAGCTTTTTAATAGCATATGTAAAATAATAATAATTTAATAGAAATAGTTAAAAACATTTTTGCTGTTAGTATATATACATTTTTTTTTTTAGATTTAAAAAGAATGTATAAACTTTTGAGACCATTGCCAAAAGGTTTTAAAGAAATGCTTACTGAGTTTGAAATACATATTACCGAAACTGGACTTGATCGTGTCAAATCACTACATACTGAAAGTGTAAGCTTATTTCACAGACTTTTTTAATATTTTATTACTATTTTATTTAATAAAAAATATCTTTTTTATCTTATTTACTATTGCCATGTTGTTTTTGCTTTAATAAGATTTTTAATAAGATAACATTTTGTGTTATCTCAAGAGTGTATATATTTTTATGGTAATGTAATAAACTTGCATATATTATTTAAAAGAACATAGGAAAATATAGTTTCTCTAATAATACTTTATTTAAGAAATTTATTCTGGATAAAATTTCTTAAATAAAATCTGTTTTCCAACTACATTAATTTGTTAAATATAAAGTTCAATAAAGTGATCAATTTATCAAGAATTATTTTGACTTTTTTTTTTTTTTTAATGTTTAGGACACTGGTCAGTTTGTAAATGTTTTGCTTGACTTACATGTAGAATATACTCAAATTATTCACACGACATTTAAAAAAGATCAATCTTTTTTTGGAGCAAGGGACAAAGTAAAATCAATTTTCAAACTTTTTATTTTAAATACTTTTTTATATTTTCGGCTAATGATTTCATAAATGTGGTTTTGTTTTATATATATATATTTTTTTGAAAATGTTTTTTAATAGAAAATTTTTGATAAAATAATAAAAGTTCAAAAAATATGTTTTATTAAATGAAAAAATCAAATTTATTTGAGTAGGCGTGTACAAAAGTAGTGAATCACAAATTGGATGCAAAGAAACCATGCAAGTCCCCAGAACTAGTATACTATAGAAATTTTTTTTTCTTCCTGATTTTAATTTAATAAAAAAAATTTCCAATTCACTTTAAATGCATAGAGTGCTGTAATATATTTGATAAAATAATTTTTTGCTCATTGTTTTTCATATTTAAAATCTTTTAAGCTCGCAAAATACTGTGATTCACTGTTGAAAAAGAATACCAAAAACTTTCCTGAGACTGAAATTGATGAGAAATTAAATAATGTGGTAAGAAATGTTTAATATACTGTTTTTTTATTTTATGATTGTAAAATATTTAAAAAAATCAAAAGAAATTTAATTATTTTCTATTTTTGGATATTTGCGTAATTACTTATAAGCATTTTCTATTATCATTCTTTTATGAATCTTATTGGATTAGTTAAACAGGGTTGCAAAATATGAGCACTTTTATTTAATTAAATTATACATGTTTTCAATTAAAAGCACTTGATGCTCTTATCATTAAATAAATGCCTTAATCTCTTATTGTATATATTCTATATTTCTATATTCTATATTTGCTTTTTCTTTGCTGTATGTTTTTTGATTTTTATAACAGTTTTAAAATCTAATAAAATAATTTGGATGGTATATATTTCTTTTAAAAGATGAATATTTTATAAAAACTGAAAGCAAATAAAAAAAATGATAATTTTATGTTCAAGAAAATTTTCTTTAAAAATGCAAACCAATAAAAATTGTCTAGCCTTCACATGCATATTATTCTCACACATTTTAGATGCAAACACTTTAGAAACAAATTAAAGTGTTTAACCAATCAAAGTGCTCATTGTAACTATAAACAAAGTTGATGTTAAAGACTGTACACTGTACTGGGTTGTGACATTCTTTGAATCTATTGTGGCTGTACTTTTTTAACCTGATAATTGTTTAGTAATTGATTAAAAAAATTGTTTATTGACAATTTAGATGCAAAAGTATTAACCCCTTCCCCCTCCCCTTAGTCCTAGTTAATGTGATTTTTCATATTTTATATGAAAACAATTTAAAGAATTAATTTTGATTAAAAATTAAAGTTAATTAAATGGTTCACTGGTCTTTCTTTTCAATAAACTTCACATTCCTTTTTTTTTTTGGATTTTGAAGAAAAATACTTCAATTAATTTTTTTTAATTAATACATCAATTAATACCATGTTTAGCAATGTTTGTTCTTGGAATATGAACAGCGCTATTTTTTTAAAGTTTTTGCCACGGGTTTGCAAAGTTTCCTGCAGTTTATAAAATAGGTAAATAAAACATGATGCTCTAGAGCTCCACTTGCACTGAATAGAGGAAGCTTAGACCACGTAAATTTTGGTAGTTTTTGATGAAGTAACAAAAAGCTTTACATAACTTGTAAAAGAATTTGAAGTTCTCGTCAACCTAAGTTTATGTAACAACCTTAGTTTATGTAACGACTTTTTTTTTTTTTTTTTTTTTCGCTTCATATTTTTATTCATATTCATCTTTATATTTATAATTTTTGTAAAAGTTTTCATAATTTTCTGTTAGACTTTATATTTATAATTTTTGTAAAGGTTTTCATAATTTCCTGTTAGGCTTCATATTTATAATTTTTGTAAAGGTTTTCATAATTTTTGGTCCTTTGCATATTTGTAATCAAAAACAGGAGTTGTTGATTTGTCGGGAAGAGACTCACATTTTCCTGAACTTTTTTGTTTTTTTACACACGCTTAGAGCCGAATGTTAATAAAATAAAACAGTAATATCAGAAAAAATTGATTGCAAAATTTGTTTTTTAATAACATATAAAAGCATTGGGTTTTAAAAATTCTTTTTTAAATTTACTTGTTATAGTTTTAAATATCATTTGATTTTTAAATTTAAAAGTACCAAAGTTTGTTTTATCTCATTTTGACAGTTACAACTTGGTATTTAGTCTTATCTGCTTTGTTTTCATAAAAATTGCAAAAATATTTCTCTTTTAGTTGTGTTACAAAATTATCCAAATCATATTTTAAATTGAGATCCAGTCTATGATGCTAACATCCTAAATATTGTGGTTTTGTAAAGTCTCTGGTTTCCATTTCATTTTGTATTTTTACAAATATATTTTACAAATATTTCTCTTGCAGTTGTGTCGCATATAATACATGCTTTCGTCTTATAGTTGATCTCCCTATTCCTGTTCAATTTCTTTTTTCATATAACTTTTTAAAGATAGTTCATCTAAATTTTTACAGATTTATGAGCTGAATTATTTGTATTTAAAAGCAAAAAAATCACCTAGAATCTGTAAAAAGTTAAAAAAGGTAATAAAATTTAAGCTCCAAATCAAGCACAACCAACTTAGCATCTAACCTTGTTATCACAAGATTAAATGCTAATTTGGCTCTGTTGTAAACTTCCAGTAACCATGTTATATATTTCCAGTGGATCATAATTGTCTTGTAAATCTAAATCTGAACCACTTTCTTCTGATGTAGTTAAACTGCTGCAAACTGGACAATTATTTACTTTGTTTGTAGAAGTTTTATCTTTTGCATTAAAAACTCTTATGAAGAATGATACTTGTATGTTACAACTGTAACCGATTTCTCCTAAATCTTGCAAAAAATTATTTAAACCAGATTAAATGGTAGTACTGATGAAAATTGATAAAACTTGAATGTTATGGGATATCGGCCCTTTATTTGTTATTTACATTAATGATTTTCCTGATAACTTTGTATATATTTCAAAGATGTATGCTTAAGATGCAAAAGTATTATCAAGGAATCGTTCACTAACAAGATTAGCCTTCTGCAAAATGATCTAAAGAAAGCTGTTAATTTGTCCAATAAATGGTTGTTAAAATTTAGTTTTGAGAATTGTTTAATTATTAACTTTGGCAGAAGTAACTCAAAAAGAATTTATTTTATGCAAAATATATATTTAAGTACCACCGTCTCTGAAAAAAATCTTGGTGTCGTGTTTAGCTCTGACTTGGAAAAAATTAAATTACTTCGTATGCAAGTAAAGAAAATAAAATTTTGACTATGTTAAAGAACATATTTATAGGTTTCAACAGTGAATTACTAAAATTTATATATGAAACCTTTGTATATAAATCTATCTATCTGCAAGAGGTCATCTAATGAAATATAATGGTGAAATACCTAATTTTTTGTTTAGACGTTATTGTTTAGCAAACAGAACATCTTTTTATTGGAATCTACCCACTGATGTTTTTAATCAATTTGTGAACTCTTTTAAAGCTAAAATTGACAAATGGTTTTCAAATAATGTAACTATGCAAAATAAAATAATAGAATAATGATATAACTGTCTAAGTGTACTTTGATCTTTCTTATTAAGACCATTAATTTTTTACTTGTTATCAACAAAAAAATATCTCAAAACTAAAAAAATAAATTTTTAATAATATATTAGAGTTTTACTAATACATCAGCACATACTTCACTGAAGCCAACATATTATATACCAATCAAGGTTTTCAAGTTTACAATTATGTTTTAAACAAATAATGATTATCACATTTTAAAACTGATATACAAATCAATGACTTTTAATAAGTTCAAAAATTTAAGAATGTTTTTTTTTTAATTAGTACAAATTTATCAACAATATTTGATCACAAATTTATATAAAAGCAAATTCACATTAATATTTTGTAGGATATCCTTTACAATAAATCAGCTCGATTTGTAGACTTGATTCCTTTTATTCCATGGTCAACATGGTCCCATAGATGTTCAATTAGATTTAAGTCACGTAATTAGGATGGCCACTTCAAAACATTAACTTTATTCTTTTTGAAAAACTCAAAAACTAATTTAGCTGCATGTTTGGGATCGTTATCTAGTTTGTATATCCATACTCGAGGCATTTTGTCCTTTGCATCAGGAAACATAATAATCTACATATATCTTTGTACTTTTCTTGATTTATAGTCTCAGTAATTCTATGGAGCGGACTAACTCCATCCCAGTTAAAATATCCCCTAACCATTAAAATACTTCCTTTTTTTACGGTAGGCAGTTGGTGTTTAGGATTGTATCTTGTACCTACTGGTAGATGCTCTGATGCAAATACCTTTAAGGCGTTACGGTTTTTCAAGGGAACTAATGGCTTTATAGCTAGGCATCTTCCAAATAAATTAGCGTGGAGTAAATGATGTTTTATAGTAGAAATATTATAATTCATTTCATAGAAATGGCTAATTTGTACGTTTATATCAACAGCAGTCACACTATTTTAGAGCTATTTTTTTGCTAAGAATCACAAGCTTTTTATCCTGTTAATGCGTTGTTTTGTGTAGCTTTCATGATTGATTTTTATTCTTTGTAGATCTAGTTAGCTCATATTACTTCATAATTTGTCTTACATCAGACTTACTGACTCCATAAATCTGTGCTATTATACAAAATAAAATTCCATTTACGAAACGAATTTCCATTTGGAACTGATCTCAAGATCAATTTTTTCACTGGAGATGAGATACATTTCTCAGGTCCCACAATCTCAATCACTTAAAAATAAAGTTTTAAAATTATTTCCACAACGTATTTGTTTATAAAATCAACAAATTAGCAATTTTGTGAAGAAAATGTTTAAAGCTTTAGTTTGTCTGCAAACTTTTGAACTTATCAAAGATCGTTATTTTGTATATTCAATCGTATATTTAATCGTATTTTGTATATTCAATTGTTATTTTGTATATTTAAACCAATTTTTAATATTTAATTAAATAATCATTATTTGCTCAAAATAATTGTTATTCTGAAAACCCTTTAATTTGTATATAATATAATGACACAAAAAGGTGTATGAGATGAAATATTAGTAAAATTTGATTTTTTTAGGCCTGTCCACAAACTTTTGGACAATACTGTATATTTCAACTGCTGACCAAACTTGAATTGTTGTTCCTACACTTTCATTGATATCAATAAATGCAGTTTTTTTCTGTTTCAAACTTTTAGGCTGTTTGTTGCCAGTTGACCATCATTTAACATTTTTACTTTATTAACATTCCTTTTCATCACAACTTCACTTTTTTTTTTTTCTCATCTTAGCTAGTTCTTCTAATCTAATCCTTCCTTAACTTCATTATTTCTGGGTAGGTATGTGGATAAAACTGTTTTTCTTCACAATTCAATCAACTTTAACATTCAAACTATAATTAATTTTGGCCTAACTTTTCTGGTATGGTAATTTGAAATGCTTTTCTACACAATTAAATTAACCAATCATCTTTAAAACCATCTTTAACTTTGGCTTGACCTTTTTAAGATGATAGTATTGATTTTCTACCCAATTCAGCTAATTCAGATTCAGATTTGCACACCTTAGTGTCAGCTTTTATATATATGTATATATATATATATATATATATATATATATATATATATATATATATATATATATATATATATATATATATATATATATATATATATATATATATATATATACACATATATATATATATATATATATATATATATATATATATATATATATATATATATATATATATATATGCCTCACTTTGCAAATTTAACATAAATTTAATTAAATAAATGCTTTATGTTACTACATCTATTCTTTGTTCAGCCTGGTCAGAAATAGCTACTGGTAATTGATCTGTCAGTTCACAATTTTTTAATTTTTAATTTTTTTAAAAAGATTTAATCCATTAACTAACTATAATAAAAATATTTGCCTAATTAAAAAAATACCATAATTTTTTTAAAAAAAAAATACCAGAATTTTTTTTTTAAAAAAATACCAGAATTTTTTTTTTTTTTTTAAATACCAGAATTTTGTTTTTAAAAAATACCAGAATGACAGTCAAATAAGTAGTTAAATAATGGCATTAAGACAATAAATGCTAAGATAAAAGCTGTTACAAAATAACTATATTAAAATTTGAAAAGAAGACACTGTAAAGATGATATCAAATCGGGGAAATAAATCAAATGTTTTTGTATAAAATGTAAATAATTTTGTATGTGACTTAAACTTAAAAACGTTACAGGAATCATTAACCATTCAATATTACATAATTGTTAAGCTGATATTGTGAATAGCAGTCATTATCCAATCAGTGGTGAGCTGCTAATGTGAATTAGGAGTCATCAACTAATCAGTGTTGACATAATTAAGAAATTAAAGTCCATTTTAATTTAGACTAAGTATGACTTATAACTGCATCAAATTGAATTACATGCAATTCTTGCATATGAGTTTATTTTTATTTTATTTTTTTAAGTTTCTTATTTTATATTTTGATTTTTGTAGATAACAATTTTCAAATACTTGGATGAAAAAGATATATTTCAAAAGGTTTGTAGAATATACTTTTCTCAAATTTTATTTTATTTTGCAGAATACATTGCGATTTTTTATAAAAAATCATAAATCTTCTTGTTTATTTTTGTCAAATAAACTTAAAAAGTTTTATCAATTAAACTTTAAGTTAATTAAACTGATTTAAGTTGATTAAATGAAAAAAGATTTAATGAAAAATTATAATGTATTACATTATAAAGAGATATTTTATGTATTATACAACAGGGTGCAGTGAATTTTAGTTTTTAATAGAATTCATTCAGCCTGGGTATGCAAAAATTGTTCATTCATTTCAGAAGTACTCTGGAAAAACATCAATGCTCTAGGTAACTATCTTGAGGTGTCCCAAGACCTTTGAAATTTTAATGGGTCCCTAATATAATAAAAAAAAGTTTTTTCAAAAGTATGTCATGTTGGGTCTCAAAAGAAGTAAAATTATATTAAAATTTTAAAAAAATAACAATTATTCTATAAAAAAATATAATTTAAGATTTATTTTATAATTATTATCAAAAAATACATTTTTTTTATTTTAAGTTAAAATAGCTATAAAATATATAGCCAATAAAGTTGCGCCCTTTAAATCTATCACAATCATTCTCATATTTGATAGTATCAATATTAATAACTATTAGCAATGTTTAGAGCCTGTAACAAGAAAATTTTTTTTTTTGACTTACCCTTATATATATTTATATATATATATATATATATATATATATATATATATATATATATATATATATATATATATATATATATATATATATATATATATATATATATATATATATATATATATATATATATATATATATTTGTCATGTTTTGTTAAAAAGAATAAATTGATGGATACAGGTTTACTACTATGGTACTATAGTCTGCCTTCTTGGTTGCTTAAAAACTGCAACATCAAGACCCAAACAAGTTTGCACTTAATTTTTCACTCAAAACAGCAATTTACTAAAAATAAAAATACAAAAACAATGTCACTTCACAAATCAACCAAATCAGAAATATCAACTGATAAAGAGAGATAAAAATTATTCACTTTTTGATCACTTAATATATGAAGCTTGTATTATAAGTATTAAGCTTAAAAGAGATTATTTTCAAAATCTTGAATATAACCTTTGTTTTTTGACAACTTGTAATTTGCAGTAGTGAATCCAAGAAAAACTTTGTTTTGATTAAAAATATTTACTGCTTAAAGTTAAAAAAAAATGCTGAATATTCAATTGACACACTAAATACAAATAAAATCCATTGCAAGTAAGCATCTGCTAAAAATGCCTTATTTTACTGTAGTCCCCATTTTCTTATTTCTGATTCTATTCTTTATCTCTTTGAACCTTTAATTCTTTTGTTGCAATTAATACTGTTGTCAAATTTTGGCTGGTTTTTCTGATAATAGACTTTCTTATTCAGACAAGGTTCTAAAATGCAGTCAGAAAATGTCTAAAATGCTTGTTTTAACTGTAAAGTTTGAACCTCTGTCTTATAGTTACAATGTTTCATAATACATAAATGTCACAATCTTCCTCTTTTCTACAAATCATGGTTGCTACTTATGGGAGCTCTCTTGTTCTCATGTGACTCGTGATTAACACGAGTTGATTACTTGTGTTAATCACGATTACTCGAGCTCTCTTGTAACTCCTGATTAACAAAGTTGTATATTTATTGTTTTGTTTACCTAGTTATTTTCCTTGCTCATCAATTAAAATAGTATATTATCCTATTATTATTTAGGATAATATGTATTTCGAGTCTTAATAATTATATTTTTATCATCCCTCTTATGTTTTTTAGTTTTATTCCATATTGCTAGCAAAAAGACTTATTCATAATTTATCAGTGTCCATGGATGCAGAAGAAGGAATGATAACTAAGTTAAAGGTTTGTTAAATTTTCAATTTTTTTTGTAAAGAGAATAGTTACTTTTAATATAATATTATTAAAAATTGTTTTAGTTGGCGTGTGGATATGAATATACAAATAAACTTCACAGGATGTTTACAGATATGGCTATTAGCAAAGAATTAGAGTCTAAATTTTCAGATTTTTTAAGAGGAAGCAATACTGAACTTGGAATTAATTTTTCAGTACTTATTTTGCAGGTATAATTTAAGTTAATTGTTAAAATAAAGTTTGCAAACAAATTTTTTATGTTTTTTAAAGTTTAGCTATGTTTTTTCAAGTTTTGTTTTTAAGTAACGTTTTTTCTAAAAGACAATTATACATAAACTTTTTTCATGTGTGTTTTAGTTCATTGTCATGGAGTGAAACATTTGATAATAATATTAGTTACTATTAGTTACTATTATTTATATTATTATTATATTGTGATCATAAGAATACTAAAAAAACTATTCATTAATAAAGATTGAAATATTAAAGTTAATTAAAGATATTTAAAGTATAATTACACACATTACATTTTATAGTAGATCTTATTAGTATTATAAAACAACTGAAAAGTGAAAATATTAATGTTGTAAAAATAGAAGCTCAGAATTAAGGCTAAGTGAAGTCTAGAGTAAAGATTAAATATTTGTAAAGGTATACCTGGTTGTGCTGCAGTAAACTGCTATAATAGTGGTTTAAGTGATTTATCCATTAGGAGCTAGTTAGTGTCATCTGTAAAGTGGTAAAAAATAGAAAATTTAAGTGAAAATTTCAGTTGATTGATAAAAAGAAAAAATGATCTGAATTCTAATACCAAATCTAATATCATTAAAAGATTTAGCTAGGGTTGAGTTGATGCCCTTATTTAAAACAAATCGTGTTCAGTTACAAAGATATTAAGTAAACCAGAGAAGAAGACCTCTATACATGCCGCGTTACAGTTTTTCAAGAAGGATTGTGTTCTTAACTGTGTTTAATGCATTTCTTAAGTCTACAAGCATTATATATATAAAGTATTTAATGGCTAATCTACATTGTTCTTTCTACTTATGTGTGAGTTGTTGGGTGTTTGTTATTGAAAACCTATTATTATTCAAAAAAAAAGTTTTTCAAAATTATGTGATGTAGGTACTCAAATAAAGTGAAATTTTATAAAAATTTCAAAAATAATAATTTTTTCATATTAAAATTATTATTTTAGATTTTATTGAATAATAACTATAGTTTTTTAACTAAAAGTGAAAAAGGTGCATTTTTACATGTTTTTTAATAACAATTTTTTCAGCAATATGATTTTTATAAAACGATTATTGTTTTCGAATTTTTTATAAAATTTTGTTTCTTTTGAGTACCAGGTTGACCTACTTTTGAAAAACTTTTTTTCTCCAAAATATTAGGGTACCGGTAATTTTCCCAATAAAGTTGTGCCCTTTAAATCTATCACAATCATTCTCATATTTGATAGTATCAATATTAATAACTATTAGCAATGTTTAGAGCCTGCAACAAGAAAAAATTTTTGTTTGACCCACCCTAATATATATATATATATATATATATATATATATATATATATATATATATATATATATATATATATATATATATATATATATATATAACCCTTGGAATTAGGGTCTGCATTTAGCTATGTCGACCTAACTGCCTTCCTAAAAGTGTTTGTGTCAATTTTTTTTTTGCTGACCTCCAATAGTTTGAGGTGTGTGTGTGCGTGTGTGTGTGTGTGTGTGTGTGTGTGTGTATGTGTGTGTGTGTGTGTGTGTGTGTGTGAACACAAACACACAAACATACAAAACATATACAGGGTTTGTAATAAAGAAAATAACCCAGCGTTGTATTTCGTCATCATGAGAATTAAAATTTGGTGAAGACTGTGCTTATAAAAAGTTTTTCTATTTGTTATACAAAGTTCTTTTATTGATAAAAGTTTTCAACAGTGCACACATGACCTCATGTCAACAAAGTAACTTTTTATACTTTCGAATTTCTTGTAAACTCTTTGCGATTTTTTTAACTGTTTATACTGAAACAAAAATGCGACCAAACAAAAATGTTCTTATTGATATTATTATAATCTTTAATATATAAATATATATATTTAATAATAAATAATAGATAATAAATAATTAATAGATATAAATATTGAAGAAGGTTTTAGTTATAAAATAGATCAAATTTATTTTTAATATTAAGATTTTTTAAATTATTAAAATAAATTTTTTTTAAATAACTTGAAGATATTTTTTATTGTTAAAAAATTAAGAAAATATTATAACCCAAGAAATTAATTTAAAATTCTTCCTAAAAACTAATTTAATATTAATAACTGATTTTCACCAAAACTGTTGGGTCTGTCCTCTTTTTTGTTTTTCGAAACTGAATGCTACTAATTTGTCAGTCATATCTTCTTTGGCATTATCTATTTCATTGTCATTTAAGATAAGTTATACTTCATAAAAAGCCTATACTAGATACAAAAATGAATTTGAAAAGTTACTATGAATAGTTATTTTTATTATAAATGATGTTTCTATTCAAATTGCATTTCCACTTGCGCTTGTTTAAAATAGTTAATATTCCATTCTACAAATTAACTGTAACAACTTCAAACTATTCATTCATTATGCTTATTCAAAACAGAAAAACGGGTTCTACATTAAAGCAAGCAATTAAAAGCTAATATTTTATATCAGTGCTTGGTTAATTGAAGATAGAACTTTACTGATAAATTAAACAAGTTTTATCTTAAGTTTAATCTGAAAATTTTTATCAAAAATATTTTATAAAAAATCAACTTAACAACTTTTTATTTTCTCCCTCCCAAACTCTTGAACAAGTTTGATTTTACAATCTTACAGAGCAATAATAAATTAGTAAAAAAATCACTTATTAAACATTTTTCATTTAACACTGTGTTTCATATGTGTGTATATATATATATATATATATATATATATATATATATATATATATATATATATATATATATATATATATATATATATATATATATATATATATATATATATATATATGTATGTATATATACCAGTGCATGTGATAAATAAAATTGCCAGGCGCAAAATTTATTTATCATTACAATATCAATGAGCTCGATTTTGTGCACTCAAAATCAAGTCTTTGAGAGCAATATTCAGAGTTGGAAATTGGTTGCCAAAAGGCAATCCATAAATTACATATGCAAGTATGGGGAGAGGTCGCTCAAAAGCAGACCAGTGCGTACAAGGGAAAGGGTGGACAACTTTTTGCTTGAATTTTTTTCATGTGAAGTCTGGGAAATCAGACCAAAAAGCTTTGGTTTTTTTGTTAATGTATTTGCTATCTACCAGAAAAAATATGTTACTGCAGCTTTGATATTAAATAAAAACAATGAAGTAGTGCCATTTACTAAAAAATGGCAACATAACTTTGTTTCTTATTGAAGTACAATTAACATGCTTGGTTGAAGACATTCTAAACAACAGAAACATTTTTAATTTAAAATAAATAATAGTTAAAAATATAAAATAAAAAGGTTAAGAATATTTCTTTTATTTACAAAAGATGTGTAAAAAATTAAAAACAGTAAGGCAATAAAATTTTATGTTTTTACAAAATCTTGTGACTTTTGCTTTTTCAAAGTTCAAGTTTTAATTTTTTAATTTAAATTTTCTGTCAGATAGTTAGACATAGAAAAATCTCAACCTACTAAGTTGTTTTACAAAAAAAACATCTACTCAAAAATGGAACTAATTTTCAGATAAACTACTGAGGCCTAAATTGTTTTCAACTGATTATAGTCTTTTTTATTTTCAATCAATTTGTGACATTTTCATTTTCGATCGATTTATTTTTTGACCTATTTTATAGATTTTCATCCAAGTATCTCGTCTATTTTTTTAACACTTTTTTTTAATTACAATTTTTATTTTATTTTTTAAATTAACAATCAATAAGTTTTCCTAGAATTCATTGAAGCTAATGCCTCCCAATTCTGAAGACAGCGCTTCAACCACTGCACTAAGGCTGATCATATTTGGCTCATATTAAAATCAACAACAAAATATACAAAATATATACTGGAAAGACTTAGTTATAAAATTAAAGATATAGTAGATAGAATATTCAGTAGGTTGAAAATTCTGTAGATCATAAATACAGTAGGTCAACGATTTAGTAGGTTGGAAAATTAGTAGTACATTTTTTAATTAGGTGTAAATATAAAAATAAAAAGTTGTCAGTTGAAAATCAAAAACATCATAAAGCGTGTACACAAAATAAGTGTGAAAGTAGAAAAACAATTAAAAAAGGTACTCATTGACTTCTATTGGGAACTAAATATTAATTTTAATACATTAATATAAGAAGATAAAAAATTTAAAAGAAATTAAATTTATTTCTGTGGGTATTTAATAAAATTTCAAACTTTTGTTTTGGTGGTACCCATAAGCTTGCGTACAGAACAACAATCAAAACTATTTGTCAAATATTTGAAAATGCCATTTAAAAAACATCAAATTTTGATGTTTTTTAAATGGCATTTTCAAATCTTTTTCTTTTTTCAAAATTTTTAATCTTTCTGCATATTTTTTTTTAATTTTTCGTCTAATAATTACCCATTACTTTGCAATAATTTTTAATACTGGGCAGTTTATAGGATTCACTATATTTGACAACTTTCAGATCTTTTTTTTTTATACCATCTCATAGCCAGTTTGCTACAATGAATTGATGATAAATCAGACCAGAACGCATGTCTACTATCATGTGATTTAGTAGGAGATAAAAGATGTTTTTGTTAACACGCTTTAACATATACAGGGCTCAATTTAACAGTCAGACATGCTACCTTCAGACATGCTACCTTCCGAAACCTTCCGTCAGACATGCTACCTTCCGAAACCTTCCGTCAGACATGCTACCTTCCGGACATTTTTTTAGATCTGATATACGGGGGCAACCAATCATTGTTCATATTTACTGAAAATATCAATAATGATTTGTTGCCCTCCTCATTTGATGTTCAACCGTTAAATTGAGCCCTTATATATTTTACTAAAATGTGTGGATTTAGAAATATAGAGTGCTGATTTTTTGCCATACCTACAAATAGCCGGCCAAAGCTTTTTTAGCAAACTTACCATTTTTTGTGTATTTAAATTTTTGTGATATTGCTGAAGATCATACTTCATATAAGTTTCATCATCTTCAATAATTCAGAAATTTTAAAAAATATAGTTGTCATACAACTTTCTTCAGTGGCTTAATGTTTTTTTTGTTTAAATTTTAAATATAATACTCATTAATTAATAGAATGTGTTTGAACCTGTACGAAATTGAAGCTATAAGTGAAGTTTTAGTTTGATAAATTCTTTACGCTCAATATTTACTAATAAGATATTTAAATTTTTTTTTTTTTTTGTAATTATTTAAGGTGCTCCCAGAAGTCCTTGCAGTCTTATCACAGAGGACTGCAGGAGAGCATTTAACAAATTTAACAAGAAGTTCATGCCTCTCTCCGTACCAATGTCGCTTGTTGGGCTAGAGCTGGCGTTGGACCTCTGGGTTCTGAGCCAGAACTCTAACCACTGCGCCACCGCTGTTCAAATATTATGTTAGATATTTATAAGTATTACGCTAGATATTTATAAATATTATGCTAGATATTTGATTTTTTACATTTAAGTTTGGAATTTTCATTGAAGCGTTGCAAGTTTTTATATTTTATTATATGGACTATTTATGCACTTCAAAGTAAAAGTTCCAGTTAAGTTTTTGTCAATTGAAACTTAAAAAACTGTACCAGTTACCAAATGGTTCGACCTAACCAGGGTACGATTAAGCGGATAATATGATGAGTTCAACTGGAATTTTAAAAAAAAAACATGCTGAGTTTAGCTTTCAAATTATTTGAAAGGTAAATTCTAATTTTTTTTTAAATTAAATATGATTTATTTCATCTGTTATAGATAAAATAATTCATTTTTAATTTAAACTAATGCTGGATAAATTATAAATTAAAGTGTCACACACAAATTATGCATGACTTTATTGTGAATATTACTTCTTTATTTTAACAATATGCAAACTCTACTGTTTAAACTTATTTTGACTTGTGTGCATATATTCAGCAAGAGTGCTCAATAAATGATATCAGAGCTACATAATTAATTTTTTGACGAGATTAAATAAAAATAACTACATAATTTTTACTACTAAAAGTTTCATGTGTTTTCCAATCAACAGGTAAAAAATACATTATTTTTTTTTTGGCCACAACTTGGCCACAACTCCTTGCGTGTTTTAAGTTAGCGTCTTCAAAAAATGCCATGAATGAACAAATATAAAAAAATTAAACTAAAATTAAAAATAAACAGACTATAAAAACTGGAAAGAGAAATAAAACTAAAAAAAAAAAATACAAATTGAAACTAAAAACATAAAAATCTTAATGAATAATAAAATAAATTATAAATAAACCAGAAAAATAAAAGCGTGAAGTTATTATGTTTTTGTTTTAATTTAAAAGTGTTTCACTACAAAGAATTTATATAGTTTATAAAAGAAATCAAGTTATTTAATCCAAGCTTAATTATTTCAAAACTTAATTAACTTAAAAATTCAAAGCTTTGATAGTTTTTAAGGTCTACAAAGCAAATATTTTTTTAAAAAATATGCGGTTAGTAGGATTTGAACCCTCATCTAATGCCAATATAACCTCAGCGTAGTTAAGGAGAGATTTCTTTTTATTATTATTATTTTTTTTCATTTCAATTCACCTCCCCAAGGCCATGAAGGCCAGTACAGTTGAGGAGGTTACTTTTAGTAACCTCCTCAATCTTTTCTCAACTCTAACTCAGAAACACAAATTTTGACAAACAAAACTGCTGCGCAGAGAAACAATTTGGAGAAAATTTGAAGAAAACTATTGCATTTAAGCTCTTTTGTTTTCAAAAAATGCCGACTTCTTTTTTTGTGCATTCTGATTTGTTAATTTTTTTTTTTTTTAAATCATAAAACTCATTGTTTTATTTTGAGTTGTTTTAATTTCTAAGAGTTTCAAGTTTTAGCTAATTACTATGGGGCAAGAGTTATATAAAAGATGAAATGTTTTTTTTTTGGTAATTAATTCAAACAACTATAAGGAGATTAAGGGAGTAGATTTTCTGAAGTGAAAACTAATGTGAAAATTTTAATTTTAATTACCTTAAATTCTTCAAAGGTAAAATTTTAGGAATTTGAATAATTTAATGCTGGAAACAAAGAAACTTTTTGCATTTGAATAAAAGAGACATTTTTGGATGAATAAATAACCTAATAAATAATAATCATATTTAATAATTGCTCATTGCAAAATTATCAAAATCAGTTGTTTTACATTTTATTTTTATTTTTATTAACAAACAAACAAATTATTATTTTTTTTATTTCTTTATTTTTTTTTTTGATGGTTGATTTGATTTTGATGATGATGAAATTCAAAATCTTTCTTATGTGTATTTATGTGATTATATATGTAAACAAAATTTGTTTTTCGTTAGTCTGGAGCTTGGCCACTTGGTCAGTCAGTTTCGCCATCAGTTATGTTACCCTCAGAATTTTCTAGAAGTGCCCAAATGGTAATTAAAGTTTATTAAACTATTTATGGTAAATAAAGTCTAAGTTTTTTTAACAATATGACTGTAAAACTCAAAAACAAAAATAAACATTAAGAAAAGTTTAAGTTTATATATACCTATATTATTTAAGTTTAATTTTTCATGCATCTTATTTTATTATTATCAATTGTTTAAGTTTATATATACCTCTTATATTTTATTATTATCAATTATTTAAGTTTATATATAACTCTTATATTTTATAATTATCAATAAAAAAATGCTTTTAAATTTGATATTATTTTGTTAAGTTCAAAACATTTTACAACAGTAAGTTCAATGGTCGAAAACTTACTTGGCTTCAAAACCTTTCAAACGGTATGTCAATTTTTTTATTGAGTTTTGATGTTTTGAATAATGCTATATATAAACCACTTATATTTAAAATATAACTTAAAACACATTAAGTTCTAATTCAATTCAAGTCAGCAAATGTAACACCCATCTTTAAAAAAGTGACAAAATGGCTACTCTCAAATATCATTCTGTTTCATTAACATCAATCTTTTGCAAAGTTTCAAAATCTATTATAAGAAAAAACCTACTCTAAGTTTTCTTAAAGTTGGTTTTCTCTCATAATAGATTTTAAACACATAGTTAGATCTATGACATGCATCTACTTGTCATTTCTCAATATTTTAATGATGGGTCTAATTTTGAATTTTCATTCATGATCATTATCCAAAGTGTACTACATGTTTTTATTTGTCAAAGAGCTTTATAAACTCTAAATGGACAGTTTTGAGACCTGTCTGAAGAGGGCAACCAAGCATTGTTCATTTTTCCTGGCAGAACAATGTTTAGTTGCCCTCTTTTAGCAAGTCCTAATAATGGTACGACCGGTGGTGATGTATGGCATCAGTTTCAACTCCTTTATATTTGTATACACATGTGTAATAAGAGATAAAAATTTCTTACATCAAAATTCTAGAAGTTTTTATAGAATGTTTAATATAATTTATGAAATTTACTTTTTAATTTTGTTAAAAAAATCAATTTTTATTTTACACAATTTTTTTTGTTGAGTTAATTTTTGATTTGATGCTTTTTTGATATTTTCAACCTTTTCTTGTCATATTAAAGATTCACCAAAACAAAAAAAAGCCTATTTTAATTTTAAGGTTTTGATTTTGTTGTTATTTGAGTTAAACCCAAAAAATCTATATCAATAAAATAAATATTTTAACATAATCAAATTTCAGGGGAAGTGAAATTAACCTACTTAAAAAAGCCGTATCTTGTAACATGCACAACATATCAAATGGCTGTTCTTCTTTTATACAACGACTCTGATTCACTTTCTTACAAGTGAGAATTATTTTTTTATATATATAAAAAAAAGCTGACAATTTTAATTTTTGTAAAACCGAGGTTTCTATTTAGTGATATTAAGTTAAGTTGCGAGTTAGAAGAAAAAGAATTAAAAAGAACATTACAATCGATTGTAGATGTAAAGATATTTTTTAAATCACCAGAAGATGTAAGTTTTACAAAGTAATAGTTTATTTGTTTATGCATGTATGTTTATACATGCATAAATTATACATTAATTATGCATGTATGTTTATACATGTTTATGCTTTTATTTATGCTTGTATGTTTTTGTTTATGCATGTATGTTTTTGTTTATGCATGTATGTTGCTTGATCTCATTACATGCTACATACATGGTTGCAACCAAAATCATGTGGGAAAGGTTGATTTAGTTTAAAATCAGAGAAAATCAAAGAATTTTTTAATTTTGTGCTATTTGGTTTTAATGTTTTATAATAAACTAGCAGTAAGCAACCTGTAATACGCGTTGTTAGTAAATAAAATTAAAAAAAAAAACCATGTATAGAAAAGCCTAGAAACTACTTTAAAATAGAAAAGCCTAGAAAATGACGTAACTCGACTAATATTTAATTAGCGTATTCATATTATCAGATAATTCTCTATTTCCAGGTTGCTAATGTTTAAATAAAAATCAAAATATGTTTGAGGAAAATTAATCGTATATAGCTCCAAAATTCTATTTACTAATAAATAGAAATTTTATTGGCATTGATTATTGTTGTTTATCTATTGTTTATCTACCAAACAAATTTTGTTATGCCAAAAAACATTTAATATAGGGCATTTTTCATTTCTGTACATTTTTTTTTTCTTTATATTTACAGTCAGAAACCAGTTTCTGACTCAAAGTAATATATACTATTACGATTATCTCAAAGTACAATTATAACATAAAGAATTTTATTTTTTTTTAGGCTACCTGAATGTTTAAATATATATTTTTATATATATTTTTTTATCATTTTATATTGTTTTGTGTTAATGTTGCGGTTTTCTAAACGCTGTGCTCTATCTAGAATTATTTATTGACTGCTATTTCTCATTGAAAATATATTAAATACGAGTTGTATGGATATAATAATTCACTTAAAATACTCTCAAGCAATTTATTTTCATAAAACTAACTAGATGAACTCAACAAATTTGCAACCTCCATCCATGACTTCTCTCTGTGGCTATATGTGACCTGTATTTACATGATTGCTGTGACTCTATGATACATATGGTCAGTGTAGAAAATAACTGCCGGTCAATGGTCAATGACCTCCTGAAACGACTAAAATTGTGGTTTTGACCTCCCAAAATGAATTCTTGCCAATCATATTTGACCAGTTAATAAAAAAAAAAGATTTTTGAAAAACAAGTTTTTACAAATACTCATAATTTGGAAAATGCATAAAAATCCTAAAATTTCATAAAATCATTTAAATTTTATATAAGTGTTTAAAATAGTTTTATTGTTTTATTGTTTAAAATTTATTGTTTATGACATACTACTTTAATTTGCTTTGTTGACAAATTTATGAAGAAAACTGAATCTTTTAAATTTTTTTTTTTTTTTTTTTTTTTTTTTTTTTTTTTTTTTTTTTTTGCTTTGCTTAAATTACTTTCATTTTAATGGTGGTTAAAAAACTCTTTTTCATAAATAGTTGTATAAGTTTAATAAGTTTTTATTTTGTTTTAATAAAAGTATTTAATATATTATTTTTATAATAATATAAAAATATATTTGCTGTATTTAACTGAGAACAATTTTTCTTTAACTGAACTTAGTCAATTTTTTCTTTAAATCTTTTTTTTTTATTTTGTTGTAAGTTTTTACAGTAAATATAATAATTTTTGATAAATAATTTGAACCTTAGTTATTTGCGAGTTTAAATTTCAAAAATGCATTAATTTTACTTAAAACTATTATTTTAAAAAGAATGCAAGTTTATTAATTTTTAAGCATTAAGTTATTTTTATGTGCTTCGTTTCAATCATAAAAAACTATTATTCAGACAAAAATTTAAACAAAGAACAAAATAAAAAATTTGACTGTCTTAAAAAAACAGTTGACCGTTAATTCCATGATTTAGCCAGTCAAATTAACAGCTCGTCTTCAATTTCTTAAACTCCACGCTGCATATGGCAATCCTAGAACTTTCTTTATATATAAAATTAAAAAAAATTAAAAAAAATTAAAAAAAAAAAAGTATACTGCTAAAGCTTATATTTTCAGAGGAATTAAATGGATTATCCATGCGTGATTCCATTTCATACTTAATTTATTCTTTGATAACATTGCTGATGTATATTGTTCTTTGTTTACAAAATATTTATATAGATTAGAATTAATTGACAGCAAATTGGATTTTATTATTATGAAAAAAAATAGACAAATCATATAATTTTCTGTGCTTGATTTTTTTGGAGACGCCCAATAGGTATGATAGAAGAGATAAATATAATATTAAAAAAAAATGATTACTAACAATTAAAATGGTTTTATTAGGTGAGAAAATACTAACAATTAAAATGGTTTTATTAGGTGCAGATAAAAAGTCACCGAAGTGCAAAATTTAATATATTGACTCTTTTTTATGGGATACCCCATAGTAAATAAGAATATTTACTTGAAAGTATGACCATATCTTTAAGCTAAATCTTTTTTTTTTTTTTTTCAACAGTTAATAACTTAAATTGACACAACTGTTTATGGATGACCCAAGTAAGCAATCTAAATGCAAAAGTTATATGTCAGAGGAAGCTAAACATGAATTAACTTTGTTGGTTTCGTTACTAGTTTGTTGCATAAAATCTGAAAAATGGGTTTAATAATTAAACAATATGTATTAAGAAGCGTTATCAATAGGGAGCAACTTCAATTTGATTTCACAAAAAATACAAATTTGATTTCAAACATGTATAAATTACAAGGATTTTTTTTGAAAGTCATCATATTCATTTTTGCTTAATTTAAGATCAAGGTCTCATTTGAGAAGGAAACATGAAAGAAAAGTCAGTTATCTTTAACACAGTATCAAATGAACTGAAGGCTTACCAAGTAGAAATCAACAAAATTATAAAGGCTGTTTGTAGCACCTTAATGTAATATAATTTTATGTAGAACAAAATGAAAAGTTCTAAGCAAAGAAATATAAAAAAATATATGTTAATAAGATAATAATTTATTTCAAAGACCGTTTTGCTAATTTTAGCTGTGGTTCAAAATGGTAAATTTAAAAAAAAATCATTTTTAAAAAATATTTTATTATTTTAGTTTTCTATATAAAAGGTATATGTATATGTATATGATTAGCGGACAATCTGGTAATAATAAAACGCCTAGGGTTTAATGAGAAAGTTTAGGTACTAATTTTGAATAATGGAAATATCAGAAGAAAATGAACAAAATTCAAAAATCACTGAAAATCAGGGAGTTTTGTTCCTAAATAATGGAGGCAGCTTTGTTTATAGCACATTGGCGATGTTGTTAGTGAAATAAAAATAATGAAATGTGAAATAAAAATAATGAAATAAAAAAATAAAGGTACACTTGACTCTTGATATCTCGACTACTCACTATCTTGAACTTTTGTGTATCTTGAACTTTATTTCCGGTCCCTTATGCACTCATTTGCACTCACTTGCACACTCGTTTGAGCCAAAATCTACTCAATACAGGGATTGTCTTTTTCCGGATATTTCCAGAATTCCGGATTTTTTTTTCAACTTTTAGTCTTTCGGATATCCAAAACATTTTCAATACATGCAAGTTGAGGTATATATTTTTGTAATATATTTGTTTTTTAAGCTTTTCCACTCATCACTCAGAAAAATTATGAAAAGTATCAAAATTAGAAACAACTTAGCTAAAAGCGAAATTAAAAAGAAAATAATTCTGGATTTTTTCTGGATATTTTATCTAAACAATTTCGCGGATTTTTAAAATATGACTAGGATGATTTATGTCAATATCTCGAACTTTTTTTTCCCAGTCCCCTGAGAATTCAAGATACAGAGAGTCAACTCTGTATGTAGATATAAAAAATATTTTTAAAATAATTTCAAACAATCTCCTTATATACAAATAGTTGAATATTTGATGATCTAGAGTTTTTAATAATGGTGATGTCGAAGTTATTTGGTGATGTCGAAGTTATTGGAAATTTTAATTTAACTTTTCTAGCTAATTAAACAATCATGTGGTTGGACCCATATGTATTTTATTAAATTAACCCATAGTTTATTTTATTATCTAAAACAAATTTTCTAAAAATCAGTTTAAATTCAGTAGAACAAGAATCTTTTTCAAGGCATCAAAAAATATTAGAATCTTTTCAAAAGCGCCTCAAAATTATAAAAGTCAAAATATAAATAAAATTTAAATGGTAAATTGTTACAAATATAAATAAAATAGCCATAAAGTTTCTTTTTAATATAACTTAAAAAAACTTAAAACTGATTATTTATTTATTGATAAAAAAAACATTCTGGTCGTCCAATGTCCTGGACTAGATAAAAGAAAATCTAGCTAAAGAGACTTGTCAACAACCAAAAAATGAGTCATCAGAGAAAATTGGGTGTAAATCAATGGACAATTGGTCCTTAATTTAAAAAAATAAATATTTAAGTCTGAAAATGTGAAAAATCCCCAATTGAAAAATACACCATTGACCAAAATATAAAAACAAACAAAAGGAAGCAGAAAACTTGTTAATAAGCTCTATAAAACAAAATCACTTCTGGTCATAGATGATAAAAAATGCTTTTGTTTTCCACATAATAACATGCCTGGAAATTCTGGATACTACATAAACATCTAAGAAACATGCTCAGAAGGCGTTTGCTTTGTAGAAAAAGAGAAATTTCCAAAAAGGTTATTAATGTGGATTGACATATCTAACAGAGGTATGTATGAGCCATTGTTTTTTACTTTCACGCAATTAATACAACAATCAATTAACATGTTCATAAATACTTAGAAAAAGTACTTGATCCATTCTTTTACATATCATAATTTTATTCATTTTGGCCAGGTTTCCCAAGTTCTCATAACTCTAAAGTTTCTCTAAATTCGATGGATAAACATGTAATTTTGTTGGTAAGGAAACCAACCCACCAAATGTGTCTCAAGCATAACCAATTGAGAACTTTTGGGACATTTGGCTCAAAAGATTAACAAGTGAGTTTTAACAGAAATAATCTTGTTCACATCAAATCAAAATTAAAAGAAAAAGATTTTTTTACTTATAAAAGTTGTTAAAGCATCATATTGCAGGTGATTGCATAATATTGCAGGTGATTGAGTTTTTTCATATAAGAAATAACTGATTTTTATTCCAAAATAAATACTTTGTTTTAGAAAAATATCCTAGTAGTTTTATTTTTACTTGTTAATAAGATATTTAAGTTTTTGATTTTGTTCAATGGTTAATGCATTATCTGATAAAAACTTTTTCAAGTTCAAATTTTCTAAGCTATAACAAGTTTTTTTTTTTTTTTTCTATTTACAAAGTTTATTTTTATTCATGCTTTCAAATGATCTTTTTTTTTTTAACAAAAATAGTTTTATATGTTATATTTTATCGCTTTTTTTAATAATATGCTGCAAGAAGGTCTATATTAACAGTCTTGTCACAGAGCTCGGTTGAAATATATTTATCTTGGAAGTTCTTGCAATATTCTTTACTGATGTTGCATAACAATGGCTAGAGTAGCCATTCAACCTTAAATTTCTAGATTCTAAAGCAAATTTATTTGCATTGATATATTTTATTAACTTGAATTCTGTTAAAATAGTTTTTAATAAATATGCAAAATTCTGTTTAATTAATTAGGTCTTAAGTTTTTTTAACTTGTTGGAAAAATTGTTTATCCATAATTTATGTCTATAAATAATTGTTTATCCATAATGTCTATAAATAGTTATAATTATTATAAAAAATTATTTATTAAATGTTTATCCATAATGTCTATAAATAATTGTTTATCCATAATTAATGTCTATAAATAATTTTTGTCTATAAATAATTTGGGTATTTTTATGGAATATAAAATCGTACTATTATTTTACAGATTCATCTGCTAATTTCGCAATACCTTGTGTTTGTCTCAACCTTTTGCATACCTTGTGTTTGTCTCAACCTTTTGCATCTTCAATAATCATAAAATATTAAAAACAAATCTCGTCATCTTTTTTTTCAAAATGAAACATACATAGTTTTATGAAGACTATGAGAATATAGGTCCCAAGAAAAAAAGAAACAAGTACAACTTTTTGGAATTGAGCGTCCATCTTCTGGAGCTTTTTTGTCTTTTGTGTATTTTATTATCCTAATAATATAATTTTAAATCTATTTAATGTAGTGGTTGCTACGTGTTACTGGAGTTCCTACCTGTCGACAAATAGTAATAAAGGGTCTGCTTATACTGGCTTTACATTGTTTACTTGATTATATGTTTTATTTTTATATATTTTTTAATAATAGAAAGTGGTGGTTATTATAAAGAGGAATTCATTCATTCGATTCATTCATTCAGGTTGAAGATCTCTGTTTATGTTCATTTTCATTAAATCTGCGTTTTGCAAATAAACGAACTAAATTCAAGATTACAGCAGCTTTGCAAAAAGAAACACCTCAAGTAAATTTCTTTTCAATTTATCAAATATTTAAACTTTTTTGTATTTTGTTTATTTTTATTGTTAATCACCTAAAACGTTAGTCCGGGTGAATAAAAAAAGCAATTGCTTTTACTCAATAATTGGCCAGCTTTACGTGAATAAAAACTTAATTTTGCTCAAACTCTATTTACGTAAAGCTGAACAATTACTCAATGTATTTGGAGTAAATTGCTTAGCTTTATGTAAATAAAAATTTGAGCGAGTTTGCTAATATTTTTATTGAACAATTACAACAAAAACGTTGCGCCAATAGGCCAGGTTAATAAAAAAAAGCAATTGCTTTTTTTTATTCACCTGGCCTATTGGCGCGGTAGGTTCACACTGAAATAACCATTATCACATAAACAAAAAACAATAGGTTGCTTTTTGTCTAATACTTTTATCACGGGTAGATCTGTTCTTAAACCTGGCACTAGGTATAAAAAGACAAATTGATAGATCTTGAAGTGGCATTTGGAGGTGTCACTGAAATAAAGTACTACTTAGCTCTGTAAACTTGACTGATGTCTTGTTTGAGACCGTTTAGCGCGTTTAATTCCAATTACTGCAATTGATTATGGTTTGAGACTTTATCAGTTTATATTTTCACATTAATTTTTGCCATTGAACCTTTGGAGCGATCCGTTGTTACGAACGTTATTCGCTAAACTCAGCTAACCTGAATATTTTTCTTTGGATATTTGACATAATTGAAAACACGCAAAAAATTGGTTATTTCAGTACGGATCACCTCTGCATTGTTTATATATTTAAAGTCGTAAAAAATGATACCATTAATTTTTGTTATATGTTACATTGTGAATCTGTGGTTATAAAATATAAAATACTTTAGTTATTAGTTTTGTATCTTGTAGATTATCGAGCAGACTCATGTAGCGGTCGATGAAGATCGAAAGATGTATACACAGGTTTGAAAATTTTTTCAATTTATAAAAAATCTGGAAATCATAAATTAGTTTCTATTTTTATACTTCTAAACACGCTTTATATTCCAAAAACAACTTAGTAACATTTAATATACCTAATTTTCTTGAAGGTATTAAGTGTTAAAAAAAGTACACAACCTAAAGCCTGTTTTAAACCGGTTTTAAATTGTTATATAAATTCTTTATGATCTTATTTTATTTACATTTACAATTACTGAGTTGTAAAATAGTTTAAGTTTGATGTGTTTTATAAAGGCTGCTATTGTTCGCATCATGAAATCGCGTCAGATTTTACGACATAACATCCTTATACAAGAGGTTTGTAATTTTTTCAGTTCTGTTTTGTTGTTTTGATTTTGTTCGATCGATTTGTAATGCTTTGTTTTACTTTAGGTCATTGACCAGTCTCGTGCAAAGTTTTCTCCTTCTACTCAAATGATTAAAGTAATTTTTGTTTTTTATTTTATTTTTTATTGCTATTAAATCCTACGTTTAGCAAACCCTTCTGTAGCAGTAGTAAAAACTCCAAGTTTGCCACTATTCTTCCATTCTATGTTGTTAAACAACACAAATATATAGTTTATACAAAGTTAAAAAACCCCAAGGAAGGTTTAGTAAATTTAGATATTTTATATTTTGCAAGTATATGTAAAATGTACAGTAGGGTACGATTTTTACGTGCAATTTGATTGTTGTGAACAAAATGTGTAACTTTCTTTTTCAATCGTAATATTTCTTTTTAGAAATCAATTGAGGCCCTGATTGAAAAAAACTACATTGAACGAGTTTCTGGATCACGAGACGAGTACAGTTACGTTGCATAATTTGACTAATCCCCGACTTTATGTAAAAAACTAAAAAAGCGATAATTTTGTTTACATTTTTATAAGATTTAACTTATAAATTTTTCTCATACTGTATTTATTATAAATTTGTGTTTTTTTTTTTGTTTTGTTTTGTTTTGGCCTTGTTGGGGAAGATAGTTTTTAGTTTTCTTGTCTTCTTGTTGTGGAAGGAATTTTACGGAAGATAGTATTAAATGGAGGTACATTTTAGAAAATTAAAGTTTTTCAAACTGCGCTTCTTCCTCAACTGTATGCTGTGAGACAATAACATAACTTATTTCATTCTGGAATTAAAAAAATACATAGTTGCTTGTTTTTTCCTTATCAATATTTGATTCCGAAAGTTGACTTTTGAAAACGTTTTTTAATATATACTTTTTTTCCACAATGTTATGGGGGTTTTCAGTGGTGTAATAAATACTGTTGTGTCGATTAACAGAGCCATCTAATTTAAAAATTGCTTCATCTGACCAAGTTATTGAATCAAGAATGTCATAATTTTGCTAGCATTCTTTCTCAAAATTCGACACGTCGATCATAGTCATTTTTATTAAGTTTATGAACTAGACTAGGAATGTAAGGTCTTAGTTTCAGCTTATTGAGAAAGCAGCGTAATGATGAACGGCTTATTTGGAGTTGCAATTAACTACGATGTATTGATGTTGTTGGACAATCTTGAAAATGTTGTTTGATTTCTTCTTTTTTAGCATCTGTGGTCACGCTGACTGGGCGTCCTGTTCTTTTAGCATCCATTACTGTTCCAAAAAGTGAATTTTCAATTCTTTACAAATTTTACGAATGATAATTCTTTACGAAAAGAATTATCATTCTTTTTTCAGTAACCTACTTATGACCCACTCTGTATGTATACACACGAATATGTATATTACATGCATATACACTGTATATATATACATGTATATGCATATATGTATTTACAATATATCTATATATTTGCATATAAAACTTGTGTAATTATAAAATTTTACAATTGTATAATTACACAAACTTAAGCAATGTTAATTTATAAATTATTGCAACTAATGTTTATACTGATAAATAAGCACAGAAATATTTATTAATACGTATTTTAAATATTTATACATGCTTATATATATATATATATATATATATATATATATATATATATATATATATATATATATATGTATATGTATATATATATGTAAGCATGCATATAAGCATGTATAAATATTTAAAATACATATTAAATGTTTCTGCGCTTATTTATCAGTATAAACATTAATTGCAATAATTTATAAATTAACATTGCTTAGGTTTGTGTAATTATACAATTATAAAATTTTATAATTACACAAGTTTTATAATAAATACAATTGTATTTATTATACAACTTTTATTCATGTAAAAAAATACAATTTTATACAAAGTCTTTGCATAATGTTGATATAATGTGGATACATGTTGTTTTTGAGAATGCATTTATTTAAATTTACCTTGTGTGAAAAATAAATGAAACTCCAAAAAGAAGCATGAAGACCTGAATACGTCTCCGTATGAAAAATGGATGTACATAAGGAACTTTTTACTTTGTTTATATTTATGTCCAAGAAAGAGATATTAGATTCCTTTTCTTTAGTAAAAAATATTGAATTTTATTTTTAATTGATATAGCCAAGAAAATGACATGCATTATTTTCTGATTGGAATGTGGCAAAAATGTCATCAGCATAACGCCTGTAAAATACTGGCTTGACTCCATTGTATGATTTTAGCCATTTTTTTTCAAAATGACCCATAAATAAATTAGCAAGAACAGGAGCTACTGGGGAGCCCATAGCAACACCATCTGTTTGGTCAAAATTCTGTTTTTTAAATGAAAAATGTGATTGCGATGTTGTAAAAATGAAGAGTTTCTTTAAATCAGTTTTGTTTATTTTAAAATTAACATTGTTGCTTAAAATTAAATTAACAGCAATGTCGATGGTTTCTTGAAGAGGTACATTAGTGTATAGTCTAGTGACATCGTAAGATACAAAGTATTTTCCATGAATGTTAGCTTGATTCACATCTTTTACAAAACTGAATGAATCTTTTGAACAAAACTCTGAAGATATTATAGGTGACAGTAAATCTCTTAAAAAATTAGCTAATTGATAATTGTAGGTGCCGATTGAAGAAACGATAGGTCTTAAACTTAAATTCGGATATTCAGTACATAAATTATGCATTTTCGGAAGACTGTAAATACAAGCAGGTTGTGAACCAGTTTGTTATATACTAAATCAACGAAAAAACTTTCGTTTTTAATTATTCTTAAAAATAAAGGTTTTTATTTTTAAAATAATTACAAACTTTAGTCTTCTGGATCGCAGCTCGCATTTCCGGTCTTTCAGGTCAAACACAAATGATTGAACACTACCGGAGAGACAAAAACTAACACATGCAAACATCTTCTTGCTTACAATAAATGCTTTAATAACTATAATAATGACTGCCTCTCGATATTGGATCCAGGCCTCCAATAAATTTAATCTTAAGATTAAGGAAAGTTTGTTCATTGTGTGGAAAAATTCAGATATGAACAAACAGTTAAACTATTATAAAATATCACTTTTCAAATATTAGTTACCATTTTATTAGTCGTTAACCTTTTGTTAAATAATTTAAAAACTTTTTATTGTACTTTTTTGCTATTGCCTATTTTGTCATATATATATATATATATATATATATATATATATATATATATATATATATATATATATATATATATATATATATATATATATATATATATATATATATATATATATATATATATATATATATATATATATGAAGACCACACGGGTAAAACCACAGATGTATATATTTTTGTATATATTTTTATGATATTTTAGTACTAAGCTATTTTAATTTAAAAGTTCATAACAAAAAAACTATGTTTTGAGATTCTATATAGAACCTTAAAACATACTTTTTAAATGACCATATGGTCATTTAAAAAAAAAAGGGCAACTTTGAAACAACCTCTGTTGTCCGCGTAAAAAACACAGGGCAAGTTATATAACTAAACCAATGTTAATAAAAGCGTAAGTCACATGACTAACTTTTCAGATGAAGTAAACAACATTACGTTCATAACATTATATATAAATGTATATATATATATATATATATATATACATATATATATATATATATATATATATATATACATACATATATATATATATATATATATATATATATATATATATATATATATATATATATATATATATATATATATATATATACATATATATATATATATATATATATATATATATATATATATATATATATATATATATATATATATATATATATATATATATATATATATATATATATATATATATATATATATATTTACAGTAGCGTCCAAAAGTTTGCGGACAGGCAATAAAATAAGGAATTTTAATTATATTTCAGCACATACTTTACTAAAGTCAACATATTATATACCAATTAAAAGGTTTTCAAATTTACAATTAGGTTTTGAACAAATTATTATTATCTAAATAATATTTTTAAATTGGTATACAAATCAACGGTCTTTGCTAAGTTCAAAAATTTGCGGACAAAGCATTATTTTTTAAAATAGTTAAAATATTTCAAAATTATTTAATCAAAATTTTTGCAAAAGCAAAATCACATTAGTATTTTGTAGGATATCCTTTACAATCAAGAATAGCTTGGCATCTATGAGGCATAGAGTCAACTAAATTAATGCAAGCGTCAATGGGAATTAAGTCCCATAATTCTTTGATTTTATTAAATAAATCAGCATAATTTGTAGGCTTAATTCCTTTCATTTGACGGTCAACATGTTCCCATAGATATTCAATGAGATTTAAGTCAGGTGATTAGGATGGCCACTTCAAAACATTAACTTTACTCTCTTTAAAAAACTCTAAAACCGATTTAGCTGTATGTTTGGGATCGTTATCTTGTTGGTAAATCCATCCTTGAGGCATTTTATCCTTGCATATGGTAACATAATAGTCTTACATATATCTTTGTACTTTTCTTGATTTATATTCTCGGTAATTCTATGGAGAGGACCAACTCCATTTCGGCTAAAACATCCCCAAACCATTACATTACCTCTTTCATGTTTTACGGTAGGCAGTTGGTATTTAGGATTGTACCTAGTACCTACTGGACGTCGAACATGCCTGATTCCATCGGATCCAAACAGCATAAATTTGCTTTCGTCACTAAAAAGAATTTTTGACCATTTTTGACTACTCCACTTTAGATGTTTTGATGCAAATTCCATTCGGGCCTTACGGTTTTTCAAGGAAACTAATGGTTTTTTAGCTGGGCGTCTTCCAAACAAATTAGCGTGAAGTAAACGACGTTTTATAGTAGAAATACTACAATTCATTCCATAGAAACGTCTCATTTGTACGTTTAAATCGACAGCTGTCAAACGGTTATTTTCTTTGCTTAGTATTGCAAGCTTTTTATCGTGATAACGCGTTGTTTTGCGTGGCCTTCCTGATTGATTTTTATTCTTTGTAGATCTAGTAAGCTCAAATCTCTTGATAATTTGTCCAACAGCAGACTTACCAACTCCATAAAGCTGTGCTGTTTTACGAAACGAGTTTCCATTCTGAACTGATCTCAAGATCAATTTTTTTACTGGAGATGAAATACATTTCTTAGATCCCATGATCTCAATCACTTATATATAAAGTTTTGAAATTATTTCCACAAATTATTTGTTTATAAAATCAACAAATTAGCTATTTTGTGGTGAAAATGTTAAAAGCGTTAGTTTGTCCGCAAACTTTTGAACTTATCAAAAATCGCCATTTTGTTAACCAATTTTAAAATGATAATTAAATATTCATTATTTGCTCAAAACATAATTGTTAACTTGGAAACCTTTTAATTGGTATATGTTGGCTTTAGTGAAATATGTGCTGAAATTTAAGTAAAATTCCTTATTTTTTTGCCTGTCCGCAAACTTTTGGACGCTACTGTATATATATATATATATATATATATATATATATATATATATATATATATATATA